GATTTTTTTTGCTACTAGAGGAGGAAAGAAAGATGGCGCCTCTCTGTTTCATTATCTCTACCAAAATGAATTCTGGTCTCAAATCTAATAGAGGAAGTGGTCACTGGATCTTTATAAGCCATGTCAGCATCTCCTTCTGCTTCTAAGGGCATCAAACTACTTTGGAGGTAATTGAGACAGACACACCTCTATCTTGCAATTTACACCGTAGTCTGCCTCCAAACATCTGCAATATTTAATAGTAAAACTGGCTCTGGTTGAAAGTGAAATCTTATCTCTCATATAATTTGTAGGCATTTTGTTTCTTCCTAAATGCTTTGTTTGGATGAGTTGGCAAAATTCTCCATGCATCTCAGCAGTTACTGCTTAGGTTTAAATTTCCACTAAGTTCCTTTTCCATTGATCTGCAGCAAAAAAGCCAATTAACCAAATTAACCATAACCTATGTGTGTTGGTTGGTTTACAAAGCAAGCAAATTCATAGCTCCATTTTTTTTCCTAAGCTTTTAAAAAGCCACTCAGATGGAAATGCCACTGCAGTCGATGTTCCTCCAGGGCTGAATCAAGAACAATGAATTATTAATCTGCATGACAATTTTCATGATAGGAAGCAGTGGGAAAACCAAAGAGGAACTGTGTGTTTTAGAAATTCCCTGTTTGGGCTAGTTTACATTTGATTGTAGCTTTTATGAAACTCATTTAAAATTTATGATGGCCCTTATCTGAAAAAACATTTTTCATTCTTCTGCCTTATACAAACAATAGGCTTTACAAACCAAATGTTTGTAAAATGTGTATGTGTGTGTGTGTGTGTGTGTGTGTGTGTGTGTGTGTGTGTGTGTGTATATATATATATATATATATTTCACAGGCGGTCACAGTGCTGATACAATGATGATGATTTAAAAGCTGCTATTTTAATAAAAGAATTTTTTCACAGTGGTTTTACCAGGTCAACCAACAGTCCAGCTACTGTAAACGTATTTTCCTGGTTCATATGTTTCCTCCCATCTGTTTTTCAAATTAGCTATAGAAATGGTTTTATGAGGGAGTCTCATTAATAGCATTTTGGCTGATTTAAGACGTTGATGATTATAATGACGATGGGGAGGATGACAATGGTTCTTACCACTTGTAGTCATTGTATAATCCTCTAGATGCAACTTAATGTGGGAAAAAGCAGAATGCTAATTAATTACACTTAATATAATAACAATAAATTAATAGGAATTCCATAATATTCCAGAATTCTCTGAAAGGATTACTAATCCAGTTCTTCTTCCCTTCCCCTTAGAATGTGCCTATTCTGTAGATATGGCTTTTCAAAAAATAGCTTCTCACAATTCTGCTTTCATGACCTCAGCTTTCACAGAAACAGAAAGAAGCTAGCTACTTTTCTCGAAAACAGATTTTATGAATCTGCACAGGCATAATATTCTTGTTGCCTTCTTCTTTTCTCTTCTGAAGAAATTAGAAAGGGAAGGAGGCGGGGGGACAAATATATTGCTGGGAGTGCAATATATATTGCTGAGGGGGGCAATTAAATTGGGGGGTGACATATATATTGCTGAAACAAAGAAGACACAAGCAAGCAACTTTGCCTCAATACGTTCATTTCAGAAGTGGCTACATTCAGGTTTGATTTCTGCAATGTGTTGGCTTATTTAAGCTTTCTGAAACATGCCTTTTAAAGCTAACACGGGTCCACATAAAACAATTTACAAAAGATACATTTCCAGTACTGCCAGTGCTACTGGAATGTTGGGTGGCAAGTATAATTAAACTGCATTTAAAAAACAATAAAGTACATGATTTTTTAAAAAAATCCCTAACCCACTTAGTGTCCTAGATTAAGAACGTCACTGCACCCTCATCTAGGCTGTGACAATGCTGCAAATGTACACCTTCGGCTGGAACAGATTGTCTGCTCTACCACCAGGCTCAGAAACGGGTGTGGGACGATTTACTGTTAATAAGCTCCCACTTTCTTCCTTCTAGTCAAGATGCAGAACATCTAATGTAAGCCAATTTATTTTGGCATCTGAAACACAAATTCAACAAGCACATCCTCTCCTCCCTGACTGAATAATTAACACAGCAAAATTTAAATGTAAGAGTTTTCTGTCTTTTCATGATAATACAAACCAGCTGTTTGAGGTGACCTTCTCAGCCTTTTAGCTGGTCCCTCCAGAATATGAACGAAACCCAACACTGTTTGACAGCCTTTTCTTAGTCACTCTGAACAATATTACAAATGGCTGCAAGAATTAAACTGGTCAGATTTCTGAAACCTATTTTCACCACTGATGTTCCAGATGTTCTAGCCTAGGGGTGGGCAATTGTGGCTCTTTTACAACCTGTGGACTTCAACTCCCAGAATTCCTGGGAGTTGTAAAAGAGCCACAATTGCCCACCCCTGTTCTAGCCCTACCTCGAGATGCCAAAATTGTACCTAGAACCTTCTACAGAGTACAATGCATGTCTTCTCCTGCCCCATCCTTGTAGATCAGATTTACAGTCTAGTTTTTCCAGGTCAATTATTGCTTTACTAGCTATGTGTTATGTTTTTCCTATGTTCTTGGAAAAAATAGCAACCAGCTTCAAGAATCAGCCGCCTTTGGTGCTTCATATGCATCACAACACCAATAATTATACTTGAGTCGGAGGAGGATTAATCTTTCTATTAACAGCTAACTGGAAGAAAAGAATTTTGACTTGCAACTAGAAGGAAATAGGAAAGGCCTCTAATATGATTTATTTATTTATTTAAGAAAATTAATATGCTTGCACAACATAACTCTGAGCAGTTCACAGCAACAATAAAACTATATAAGAAAAAAGATCCAAAAAACCCAGCACCCAATGCCCTAAAGCAACAGTCCCTAATAACAACAGAGCACAACTGGGCTGCAACACCAGAGCCAGGTTGGTCTAGAGATTAAGGCACCCAACTAGAAAGCAAGATATTGTGAGTTCTAGTCCTGCCTTAGCAAGGAAAGTCAGATGGGTTTTGTGGGCGTGGCTTGGTGGGCATAGCAGGGGAAAGATACTATAAAATCTCTATTCCCTCCCCATTCCAGGGGAAAGATACTGCACAATCCCCATTTCCTTCCGATCAGCTGGGACTCGGGAGGCAGAGAATAGATGGGGGCGGGGGTCAGCCAGAGGTGGTATTTACCAGTTCTCCGAACTACTCAAAATTTCCACTACCAGTTCTCCAGAACTGGTCAAAACCTGCTGAATACCATCTCTGGATTGTTTTGTGGGGCAAACAAGAGGAGGAAAGTGTGTTAGATTTGTTTGCCACCTTGAGTTATTTGTAAAAATTGATAATAGAAATTTAATAAATAAATAAATATTCAAGGATTAAATATATGATCAAGAATGAAAGCAATAAATATAAAATAAGTATCTGGAATAATGGGATATACAGAGATGGAGAGAGAGAGAGACAGCACAAATGCTTTGTGGAAAAACAATTTTTAAATGGATGAAATACCAGTCTTGGAAATTATTACCATTAACTTTGAAGTGCAATTTTCATTCTAGTTTTAATGAGAACCTTTAACCACCAGAAAAACATTCTTGTAGTCTTTTCACACTTTCTTTTGCAATGAACATCAAGAAGAGCAAAAAACATCTAGACGTCAAGGTTAAAGCAATCAACTGAACTGTTTAGAATATTAAATTGAGCAGCTATAGCATTTTGAACAGTGTCCTATGCTAGTTTGGTTATAATTCCTATCATCGGCAGAGGCAGAATACTTTTAAATCCCAGAAGAAGAGAGAAGAGAAAGTAACACAAAAGGATTATTGAATTAATACACAGTTTATGAATTTTCCAGTAGTAGCTTAACATTGTTAAGAAACAATATTAATGTACATTGTTTAACCAACAAAAAAGCTTGTGTATTAATTTTAATACAAGTTACATAACATAAGGACCGTTTCATGTAAGTTAGCAAAATAACTGTTGCAAATATAATATAAAATAGTTACAGAAAAATAAATACAACTAAAAATTGCCTGAAAATATATATACTTTAAAGAACAAAATGCTTTAAAATCCTTTTCTTTGACCATTGTCAAGAAAACAAATATGAAGACAAAATGTATGGATCACCTTTTTCTGTAATGGCAACATAGATTTGCCCATCCAATGTTGTACAATAGTTCTCACAACTATAATTTTCTCCTTAAGTTTCTGATAAGATTCCTTATGTCGACCTCCGGGTATTTCGCTGTGCACTGAAGACCCTGTTTTTCCGCCAGGCCGGGCTATCGACATGATAATTTTAAATTGGGGTATTTTAAATTTCTGGGGTTTTAAATGGAGTCAAATTTATTTAATAATTTTAAATTTTAAATTGATGTTTGTCTTGTATTTTTAAATAGGCTGTACACTGCCCTGAGTCCTTCAGGAGAAGGGCGGTATAGAAATAAAATTATTATTATTACTATTACTATTATTACTATTATTATTATTATTATTATTATTATTATTATTATTATTATTATGTTAAGGATATAACTTTGGAGAATGTACTTTTAATGTTGTTTTATTACATTATTATAGAACATAAGTAGTACATTATATTATTTAGGTACAGCGGTTTTTTATGCGGTGTTGAATGAAGATTATTAAAAATTTTAATGTTTAGATAACTTAAACCTTTAAAGACGAAGGGGAAAAGTTTACATCAATGTTTACTATGATTTCTAAAATGTTAATGTTAATAAGCATAACATTGTTTAAATTTACAATTACCGCTAACTGTTTAATTCATATATGTCTCCTTAACAACAGTATGACTACTATAGAATCAGTCTCACAATCCTATAAATTTCTACCCCAATATAGCAATGTTAAGACAAGCCCAAATGAAATCAATTCATTTTCGAACTTTTGAATTATATCTCTAAAATGGCTAAATTGTTAGATATATAGAATGAAATTAAACAGAACTTTAGTCTGGCCCAGCAACACATAAAATTCCTTACCTCATTTGGATCCTGCTGGTCTCGCAAGGTACTTATATTCTTGATGAGATTGATAAAAAATCCATTCACTTCATCTCGTTTCTTATTTGGCAAAATGCGAAGTAGCGGGATCATTATAAATGGAAATGCAACTTTAATAGAATTTTGAAAGAGCAACATTAGCAGTTGTTCAATTATCAATTAATGCAATTAATCCCAACCCTTAACTTCAGACTATTCTTTCTTCTAAATTGAGAAACCTACTTTTCTCCCTTTTTAACTTTTTTTAATGATCTAGCTTATCTTCTAAAAAAAGTGAGATAATTTCAGTAAAAATAAATCAAGGTTGTTCCAATTGATAACATTGTCCAAAACGATTTTGCTGCATTAGATGCTGAAACACATTTAACGCATGACAAGGCTTTTTTTTTTTTTTTTTAAATTCCTAGAAGTTGTGATGTATGATGGCTATAAAACACGATTGGGAGGTTACAAATTCATACCCATTAACTTGTCTTGCTCTGAAATCCAGTCTGCCTCACTCACTAATATCTGCATATTCTTCACAAACAATATTTACAGAGTCCTGAAACAATTAGAAGGTCTATCTTATGGCTGTGGCAAGGTTTTGTGTAAATGTACCATTTAATTAATGAACCATGAAGCAGGAGATCAGTGAAGACTTTTCATATCAGAAATTTGCCCTGAAATATTTGTCCTTTACAGGAACTATCTTGCTGGGTTATTAGGAATATCTTATTTATGTTCTCTGCACCAATTTGAAGCTTAATTGGTGTTTCTTATGTAAGCAGCCAGTACTTTAAAGTGAAGACCAATGAATTTCTGTTTTACACAGAGTGACTATTGTAACATAGATGGATTCAAAATAAAAGTAAATAAATATATATATATAAAACTGCTTTCCCATACACAGAAAGGCAACTTGTATTTGAATTCCAATTGTGTTTACTTGGAAGTAAGTCACCATGGGAAGCATATTCCCATGAAAATATTAGTAAGATGTTATTATATTTTAGCCACACTGAAACTGGGACATTCAAGAAGGAAGTTATAGCAACAAAGGCAACTAATATTGCCACTTGCAAAAAACAGCATAGTAGATATTCACTGTTCATTTTCACTGACATTTGTTAAATAAAATATAAAGTAGCATTGTTAAAGAGATATTTTCTTTTATACTTATTTCAAATATTTAACTTTGTGGCAGTTACAGTATTTGATGGTATACCCTTTTCTTTTTGATGATTTTATATCGCCTACATCCAATCAGTACTGCTAATAAAAATACCGTATTCTTAAGGATGGGATAGAGCTCTAAGGCGAAATCCGGAAAAAAATCAGTTTAAAAGTTGGCATTCAGGAACAACAGGTAGTCCTTGCATAATGATGGTAATGGAGACTGGAATTTCCATTGTTAAGTGATGTAGACATAAAGCATGATGTCGGATGGCCGTTGCTTAGCATTGGCCATCCCAGCAGTCCTTGTTTTCATCATTAAGCGAGGATTGTGGATCATTAAAGAGGATCTCTTTGCCTCTTCCTGCTGGTTTCCAAGAAGCAAAGTAAATGGAAAAACTGGCAGGAAGTTGAAAGTCCTGAGTGATTAGTATACAGGGCAGTGGGTGGGTCTCAATGCAGTCAGACCATAGCCATGGAGGGGGGGGGAGTGTGCAGATGGCAGCTGCCACAGTACATGAACACAGATGGGGGGAGTTCATTGATGGCTGCCACTTCATTTCGCAGACACAACCAGCTGGGCAGGCCCTGCTGAGTGGAGGCAGGAGTGCTGCAGGTGGCCACACATTACACAGCATAAGATCCCTGGGATCTTGTATCCCACAGCCACGCTCTTTGAGGGAAAAAGCAGAGGGAGTAATTTGAGACCCTTTGTGCTGACTTGCCTATTAACTTTGCTTGTGAGAGGCTGGCAAGGAAAGTCATAAATGAAGATAATGTGACTGTGGGATCCTGGGACTGCCTGTCATACTTGAGAGCTGGTCGCCAAAGGCCCAATTGCAATTCTGGGACAGCCAGAATTCTGAGGACCAGTCATAAGTACCATTCATTCAGCACCATCAGAAACTAAACAGTCACTCAACAGGTAGTTATTAACCAAGGACTATCTGCAGATCTCAGCCCATCTTGATCCTGCAGGTTTAATTAACCCTATATCATGTACCCAATAATTTATTTTGGAGCAGAAGAAAGAGGACAACTAGAAAGCATTACTCAGATCCCAGAAAGCTTCTTCTTCAAATATGGATGGGATTTGAGGAATGATAGAAACAGGAAATTAATGGATTACATGTAATTTCAGTCTATTGAACAGGAGACGTGGAGAATGGTTGCCTGCAGCAAAGATCATTGACCACATCCTCTGTAATTTTTTACAATTATTAAATCAAGGCAAAATAACAAGGTTTTGTTTTGATATCTCCCAAAGGTTTCCCAGCTTTCTCAGAGACTCGATACCTTGCAAAGCAACTAAGAAGAAGGTCAGGCATCTCTAAATGCAAATTAGACGTGAAGTCACATCATATCTAACAGCAGAAGAGCTGAAAAGTTTTGCCAGCTTTTGAAACTTTCTTAGTTTCCTCCGATATTCTTCAAATGTTTTGATCATCCATTTGGATTAAATGTGGAAGAATAGATGCAGTCGCCAATGTGAGATATACTTACCAGCAAGGATGAGAAGAGGTTTAAATATGAAAGGTTCAAAGAATCTTCTGGTGTACTTAACAAAAATGTCATTAGGAGTCTTCTGAGAATTAACACGGGTACCAAAAGCTACACTTGCAACAATATCCAACATGAAGCAGCCATAATTCCTACAACAAATTCAAAAACATGGATGTTAACATGTTGTTTTTTTCATTACATCTTATTTTTATTACATTATAATATCTTATTATGCAAGGCATTTTGGGGGGGAGAAGTGTCAAAACTCATATCATAGCATCAAGAGTTATTTATAACAACTTGCCAGACTATATATATAGCTTCTTTAATGATGATTTTTAAACTGTATTTATAATTCTTGTTTTATGAAAAAAAATTCTATACAATACTTTAAAACCATAAAATTGAAAACCAGAGTTTCTTATGTATGGTTCTAAATGCAGCACCACACATATTATCATAATGAAATCTGATGAACAGCTGGAAATCAGTTCCTCCCTCCTTTCTCTAAACAGAATTTTCAAAGAGTTGATTCATCATTTGATACTTCCCAGATCAAGTGATAATTGCATTTATGAATGTGACATCACAAATACAATTCCAGAATGGATTTTATTTAAGATGTCAATGGCAGTGAAAACATTTTACATATTCAGTTGCCAGTAACTAGGTACTGAAATGAATGTAATAACATCTTTTCATTTAAAAAATAAAATAATATTAATTGCTTTAATTTTTTTTAAATGATATAAACAATAAATAGCTAAAGTCCCTTTCTTCTGCAGAAAGAGCAACTAAGGTGGTATTCAAGAGCTATTGATCAGTAATACATGGATTAAAAAAATATAAACATAGCATCATTTAAATAGTACTTTAATTCTTAAAACCTTTTTTTAAAAATCACTATATACTATCCAGAAATAGATTTTACTCATTTATTTTCAAGGAAAAAATCATACTGAATCAGCCTGTCTGAAATGTTCTTTTTACCACTTAGTAGACATTTTTATTAACTTAATGACCCCAAATTATCATAAAACAACAACATAGAATAATAGAGTTGGAAGGGACCTTGGAGGTCCTCTAGTCCAACCCCCAGACTCTTTCTATTCAAGCTGGTTCCTTGGAGTAATCAGTCAGTCAGTCGTTTAACTTCAGTCACTGGCCAGCAAAGCAAAACAAAAGAAGTCACATTTAGTCCCATGAAGAACTTTATAATTTTCAGAATCTTTGCCTGAGTGGATTTCACTCTCTTGCTTCTCTATTCTTTTTTCTCTGTGCATCATGTCTCTTGGATAATAAATCTGCAGGAAAGAACTAGGACCATTGTGCTAACATGTAGAGTCAATATTTTGTAAATAAATACATAACCCATCCAACTTTTTCCAACAAACATAGTCCAGCGTCACCATAATGTTAAGCTGTAGTTAATCATATCAGGAAATAGGTAGTCTGGATCTCATACTTGTAACTGTGCTTGCAGAGAGGAGAGTTTATATAATCTAGGCCCGAGATGGCGAACCTATGGCACACGTGCCACAGGTGGCATGCAGCGCCCTCTCTGTGGGCACACTCTGCCACATATATGCACGTGCCTCCTGCTGGCCAGCTGGTCATCGAGTCTCGGCCGCGCACACATGGGGGCGGGGCACATGTGGGGGGTCATGCACACATTTTGGGGGTTAGCGCATTCAGGGGGTCGCGCATGCATGTGCAGGGGGTGGGGCGTGTGCGGGAGGGTTGCACACGCATGCATGGGGGGCATGTGCTGGGGGGCATGTGCATGTGCAGGACAAGCACGCATTGCATTTGCGAGGTTCGGGCGCGCGTGCGCTTTGGACACTTTATCCGGAAAAGGTTAGCCATCACTAATCTAGGCTTATTTTTTAAATTAAATTTACATGCCATCCATCTCACTATTGAAGTGATTCTGGGCACTATCCTATGGATTATAATGACATGCAAATGTAGTTAGAGTTTGGGTTTATTTCCTTTCTAATTTTTAAAATTTTCCTTTATAGACAGCCTTGATTTGGATACCCAAGTACCCATCGTTTTAGTTACAATTACTGTTTTTGAAAAAAAATCATTATTACCAAATCAATAGGAGAAATATATGCTTGCCTGTCTATCTTTGAAAGTGACAACTGACAACAGAAAAAGGAGAGGAAAAATTAAAACATTAGTAAAACAATTCCATATTTAGGATTGTTTGGCAAGTCAATGATGATAGAATTCTCCTGTAGAATATAATTTATTAAAGTACCTTTGAATGTCAAAAGCAGAACCAGAATCTGCAAAGACTTTTAAGTTATTCAGCAGGATATTGCATGCCTCATCAATTAGCGGAGTCATCTGTAAAGAAGCACAGGTATATGGTTCAATTTTAAAAACATATTGTATTTTTATACATTAATTATATACTGCAGGAGCAAACGTATCTCAAGAGCCTCTCATTGATGGAGGAAGTTATTTTCTCAAGGAAGAAAGTGAAAAAAATTACATTTATACAAATGGGATTTCATGTTTTAAAATGCTTTCTCCCTTACTGAAATGCCCCGACAGCAGGGGTGAAATCCAGCAGCAGGGTCTGACAGGTTCTGGAGAACCGGTAGCGGAAATTTTGAGTAGTTCGAAGAACCGGCAAATACCACCTCTGGCTGGCCCCAGAGTGGGGTGGGAATGGAGATTTTGCAATATCCTTCCCCCAGGAGTGGGGAGGGAATGGAGATTTTGCAGTATCCTTCCTCTGCCACGCCCACCAAGCCATGCCCACCAAGCCAAGCCAGGCCACCAAGCCACACCCACAGAACCAGTAGTAAAAAAAATTGGATTTCACCACTGCCCGACAGTCTGCTCTATCTTGACAATTGTGACAGTTATTCTTGGCCAAAAGAAGCATTGGGGTTTTTTTAATGACAAAATGATACCCAAATTATACATGGTTTTACTAAGAGCTGGAAGCAGGGATGTTGCCATGGGCAAGTAAAGTTGCTATCTGTAGAGGTTCTGTAGCAGAAAGGCCTGAAGCTTCTTAAGTAATTATGCTTCAACAGCTTTCTTAGTATCAGAGAGATTTTGAGTTTTTTGTTGACTGGTTTAAAGACAAGTGTAAAGACAAAAAGAGGTCGAGATCTTTCTGCATGACACTAAGAGGGCTATCAACGGCATCGCACTGCTTAGTTTTGTTGTTGCTGATCTACACCTCCTACCTGAATTTCATCCACCCCAATTTGTCTCAAGATATGTACAACCACAATATTTTGGTCCAGAAATGAGACCAAAAGTTCTATTGGCCGCAAGCAGCACCTGTACAGAAAAGCTGGCACCAATCAGGCACTAAAAGGAGGCTAGCAGACAGGTTCTGGATGGCTTGCACATTGACGCTAGTCTAGCAGAAAAGCCGAATGCCCTCTATGACCTCCTTTGCTCAGCAATTTCTAGTAGCATTAGAGAATAAAATGATATTAATGTGACCCAGGGATGACTTTCCAAACCACTTACGTGACCAAAATTGTACAAACATCCCTTCCATTGAATCTTTTCGGTAAACAAAGGAAGGAGCCTAAAGATCCTATCAACCTCTATCAGCTTCTTTGACAATCTTTGTTCCTGCCAGCAGGAAAGCCATTCTAGAATTATGACCTTTAAACTTCTGCTTCTGTTCATTAATCATTGTTTTTGTAATGCAGTTTGTGCTAGGATGGTATTTTTCCCTCTCCTTCCAATACCCCCTATCTGGTGTCTTTTGGTTTAGTAACCCTTTGCCCTTAAAAAAAAAAAAAAGACCATATCCTTTCATAAAGCAAATGCTACTTAAACAGGAAGAATTAGAAACCAGAAGCAAATTCAAGTAGATCCTGCTGACCAAGCCATTGACCAATAATATTTTAGCCAAACTGGAAACAGCTACTGATACTTTTTGGTGAAAGATACTTCTTTCCTCCAGTGTAGACTCCATGCATTTTTTTTCTTTTGCACTTAGCCCCATCATACAGTAATATATTGGCAAATGTTTACCATTCCAGCTTAGTATAGGGAGAAGAGAAACTTTGTTTTAAAAACACAAGCAAGCTATGAGGTTCTATGAGCACCCCATCCCCACAAACTCCATTTCTCCTTCCCTGCTCTGTTAATTTTTGTGCAATTGCAGTTGATTTATTTAGGCCAAAACAGTAACACTGATATTTATGTATGTCTGTATCTGCACCTGCATGGACACACACAAATATATCTATGTATATGTACCTATATAGAAAGATCTCTTATTGTCTTTATGCTGAACGTAAACAACATGGATTCATTTTGAGACATTAGAATAATCTGTAAATCCAGTATTCCATGTTTATCATGTTTTGTAGCTTTTGCCAAATCTGGTCACTTCAGTAAAATCTTTTGGTTAGAGCAATGCAACAATTAAAAGATTCTGTCCATCACTGATCCATGGTGCTAAAGGTCCATCTACCTTGGCCTAAATCTACATAGGAGAAATAAAAACCAGATTTGCCTTTTCTTCTTTTTATTTAATAACTTATTGATGATCTCATAAAAGCCTGTAGGTTGATTTTGGTTTTTTTTACTAGCTAATCCTTACAGAAATAATAACCGAGGAGTCAGAGGAAAGCAAGGTGTGACACACTTCCCTCGCAATCTTTTTCCTTTATCCAAAAGAAGTTAAGCCAATTTCTATCAGAGCTCATTCAAGTGAAGCCCACCCAGCACTTCCAGAAAGGGTGAGTCTTTTTCTCCTCCTTCAGCCAGCAATCCTCCCTCCCCGCCTAATCGGAGTCCCCCTCTATTTTTTTTGTAGAAATATAATATTCTCCATCTTTATTCTACCTAAAGACTTCTGTCTTGGGCAGGGAATTGGACTAGAACACTTCCAAAGTCCTTTCCAGATTAGTGATTCCATCACTCCCAAATTAAGTTGGGCCCATGCAAAAATGCTTCCCTTTAACAAGGGTATACAGTTAGTTCCTGACATAATAGAGCTGCCCATTATGGTCATAAAGCAGTAGTGGGTTGCCCCCAGTTCGCACCAGTTCTATAGAACCGGTAATAAAACCGGCTGGAGGCTCCGCCCACCGACCCTGATGTCATCAAAATGCTTCTGTGCATGCGCAGAAGCTTCTGTGCTTGCACAGAAGAGCGTGCATGAGCAGAGAGCACGTGCACGACCCCACTGCGAACCGGTAGTAAAGGTAAGTAGAACCCACCCCTGTCATAAAGCATGATGGTTATAAAGCAGGTCATCATCCAGGGGTGAAATCCAGCAGGTTCTGACAGGTTCTGGAGAACCAGTAGCAGAAATTTTGAGTAGTTTGGAGAAGCAGCAAATACCATCTCTGGCTGGCCCCAGAGTGAGGTGGGAATGGAGATTTTGCAATATCCTTCCCCTAAGAGCGGGGTGGGAATGGGGATTTTGCAGTATCCTTCCCCTGCCACGTCCATCAAGCCACGCCCACCAAGCCACACCATGCCCACAGAACCGGTAGTAAAAAAAAATTGGATTTCACCACTGTAATCATCTGACCAATCTGACTTGATGACCTTTTAGTGGCAGTTGTTTGTTAAGTGTGGTTAAACACTTTTTGGCAAAAAACATTGAAAATTGTGGTCATGTCACCATGCAAATGGCCATAATTGTGCTCTGGTTGCCAAATGCCTGTTATGTGGCATAACTGCAGGAGGGTGAGCTGGTGAGGGAGGCAGCTGTCAGAAGTTCTGAACATTGGGCAAGTCCATTGTAACTCCCAACCACCAGTCATAAGTCAAGGACTATCTATAGATGAATGATGCTTCTTCAAACTTCCTGCTTTCTTTGTAGAGTCAAGATACAGATACAGATTAACAAGAGTTGGAAGGGAAGAGGCCTTGATGTTGCTTATTTGGAGAGGAGACTCATATATCTTTTAACCTTACTTTGAATTCCTTATTTCCTTCTCTTGGTGAGAAACCTTGTCATGTATTGTACTTATTTAACTTTCTTTTTTTTTCTAACTGAAACTGAATAGGTATGCACGTTTTCATTGACATTCCCACAAAATGTCTTGTTTCACCACCTTTATTTGAATTAATTCTTCATCTTTTTCTTGTGAAGTGAATGTGTTAATTTCCCCATTGACTGTCAATTATCTACGAACCTGCTAGTTTATAGACTGTGGAGTGCTTCTGATTTTTGTGTTAGCTTATAACCTACTGAATTTAACTACTAAATACCAAGCGATTATTTGATAGCTCTATATGCCATTAGCCAAATATTATATAATGGATTGTGCTCAATGGTTATTATTTATAGTTTCATTTTTTAAATTTCCTGAATGCGGAAGCCTGTTTAATAATTCGTAGCATTCAGTTTTAACAAAACTGGCATTCTGGTTTGATACACTGTACTTAAAGGAGTCCTACATTTTAGTAGTTCTATCTGCAAATTAAATCTTCACTTAGCTGAAACGGCTCAAATTCTTAGCCATTTGAAAGATGGAAACATCTCCCTTAATCATTCCAAACTTTTGTTAACCCACAGTTAACATTTTATAAAAAAATATGTTGGGTGACGACTTCACACAGCCGAACAAATTAGAAAACGGGGCTAGTGGCCACAAGAGGTAATAGCTAAGTTGTGCAATTTTTTAAAGGGTTTAGACCAATTCGTGGAGGTTAAGACGATCTGTGGCTGCATGTCAAGATGATTATATGCTATCTCCAAGTTCAGGCACACCATGCTTCTAAATTAACAGTTGCTAGGACACAAGTGGAACAGAAAGTTATTCCTTCTTTTATGGGGGAATCTGGTTGTCCGCTGTGAGGAATGGAATGCTGTGCTACATAGACTTCAGTCTGATTCAGGAGTATTGTTATCACAACAGTGTTATCTGATGTATGTCACCTTCAACTTACAGAATTTTCAGCAATACTGCAGTCATACAGTCAAAGAACTGATGTCTATATACTTGGTAGATAAACCAGAGTGAGTTACACTGAACTTCAGCATGAAAGGAAACTTAAAAAAAAATAATACCTGAAGTATTCAATATTCTCCTTATTTGATAAATCATAAATTAAATTTAACTAGGAGCCTGGATAGCTCAGCAGACTAAAAGCCTGTTATTAACATTCAGCTGTCTGCAATTACTGCATGTTCGAATCTCCCCAGGCTCAAGGTTGACTCAGCCTTCCATCCTTTCTAAGGTAGGTAAATTGAGGACCCAGTTGTGGAGGCAATAAACTGACTTTGTATAAAATATATACAAAAGTATGAAGGCTATTGCTTAACGCATTGTAAGCCGCCCTGAGTCTCCGGAGAAGGGCGGCATATAAATCTAATTAAAAAAAAAAAACTAATTTAGCATCTG